CCCCCCCCCCCCCTATAAAAACAATATATGTTATGAAGAAAAATAAAATAAACAATATTTGCCTGAGCACTATATCCAATTTCCTTACCAAATTTGAAATAAAAATAAAATATAAAAAATAATGCTAATAATCAAAATAAAATAAATAAATAAATTTAGTGAGTGGGCGAGCACATTTTCGACATCACCATCTTTGACGATTTTTTTTATTTTTTTTTTGCATAGCTAAATGCCCTGAAAATTTACAGATGTGTATTTCACATAATGCAAAACCCACTTAAAAAGTTTTTAAAAATAATAAAATTGTTTAAACCCCGAACAAAAGTGAAAACAAAAAGTAAAATGTGAAATAAAATGTGGGCGAGCATGTTTTGACACCGTCATCTTTGACAATTTTTAATTCTTATATGGCTGAGCCAAATGACTTGAAACTTTATATGCATGTACCTCACATTATATAGAATTCACAAAAAACAATTCTGAAAAAAAATAAAAAATTTTACGCCCTGAAATAATTTTTAGAGGGGGCCGAACGCCATCGGGTTCGGACCCAGTACAGGACCCTGAACGCCCGTATGTACGGAGGTCTGTCCTGGGACGTACGGGCTAGTGACCCTATATATATATATATATATATATATATATATATATATATATATATATATATATATATATATATATTGGACCAGTCGGGCAAGTGACCCATGACTACTCTGGTAGCCTATATAATAATTAAAAAAAGTTAAAAAAATATTTTTTATTTTTTTATTTTTTTTTATTTCTTTCAAGTTTTTTAATGATTAAAAATTAGAAACTCTAGCATACGGGCAAGTGACCCCGTATGCTAGGCTAGCAACCAGACCGTCCACGTTACTATCTATTTTTTGGAGGCCTGAGCGTGAAAGGACTAAATAAGGTTAAAAAAAATAAATCCAAACAATCCGAAAAAACTATAATATGCAAGAAAATAAATGGAATAACTTTTTATCACAGAGTGAAATCAAAATTATTTATCAACCCGAAGGTTGATGTCAATTGGAAGGTCACCAAACGATAGATGTCGGCGGGGTGGATTCAAGACACTCACACGAGGCTCTCCCGAGCTCTGCCGGCGTATTGGAAACTGTTGATGAAACTGGTTGTGGTTAAGCAAGCAAGTTTTTTGTGGGTGGT